CTGGTTCTTACTGGTTCTGTTCTGTTCTGGTTCTAACTGGGTCTGTTCTGGTTCTTACTGGTTCTGTTCTGGTCCTGTTCTGGTCTGTTCTGGTCGAACAGTAACATCTGATCCAGTGTGAGTAAAGTGTAGCAAAATGATGCAGTTTTCTGACATTTCTTCTGTGTCTGCAGGATTTAAAGGTAACGATCAGATTTTTCCTTTTAAACTCATATAATCTGAAGCATTTGCTGAAACAGTGACTCATTTTTTCCTCCGTATCTGTTGAGGCGCAGCCAAACGCAGCAGCTCCCTCTGCTCCTTTAATCTGTTCCAGGCTGATAAAGCTGTTTTGTTTTTCCCCTCTGCAGCGCTCCAAGCACAGCAAAGTCCATCTCCATCCCTGGACGGGAACACACCCTGCAGCTGGACTGCAAAGGGGAGGGGACGGCCGAGGGAACCGGGCCAGCTGGAGGGGTTTCTCTGGGCCGGGCCTCCAAGCCTCGGCCTTCCATCATCAGCTCGGGTGGGAGTCGCTCCTCAAAGCCTCACGTTTCAGCAAAAAGCAGATAAACGGCTGTTTTCTGCCGGGTTTCACTCTGACATGGAGTTCAGTAGAGGAGAACCTGGTTACTGTAAGCAAAGGTCATCAGAGTTGACCTCAGCGAGAAAAACAATGAAAACTGAAAATGAGAAAACATTTCTGAAATGTTCAATAGAAAAAAAAACATGTATTTATAAAACAAACAAAAATAAACAGATATTTATTAACTTTTCAATCAGTTGATGTCAGCTGCCGGCAAATTACGGCACTCCATAATCCATAATAATCTGTAAATACTCGTCTGCAAAATGGCGTCAGCAAAAGTTGGGCTAAAACAGCAGAGTTAGTTATTGTTCATCAATAATTTAAACATAATCACAACTCAGTGCTTTGACCTTTTTGAATTCTCCACCTGCAAGGCTAAAGTATGAAAACATTATGTCTAATCTACCTCATCTAAAACTAAATAATTTTAAACTAATAGTAGCTGATGAAAACTAGAAGCTGTCCACGCAGGCCTTATGTTTGTCTTCCAGACTATGGATGAGCTCTATTTGTTCTTCTGTACAATGACCAGCAAAAACACTAAAAACTAATTTAAATTAACTGAACTAGACAAACAAAAGGTCACAACGAAATAAAACTAAACTATAATGAAAAATTCCAAACTATTATATCCCTGATGTAAACAAAGCTTTGGTAGAAGATGCAGAAATGTTTTGTTTACGTTGAGAAAAAACATCTTTAATACCCCACACATGGCAGGCTGAGTGGCTGCATTAACGTTTTCATTATTTTCAGCTTCTAAGCTTAATTTAAGAATGTATTTAATCTGAAACTTTTCATTAACTGCACATTAAATCTAAAACCTGTTTTGTTCTGGATGTTTAACTCAGGAGTTTAGCTCCGCTTGCAGAGATTTTTTAAGGGATTTGAGTTTAATGATCAAATTTCCTGTTGGATTAGGATTCAGTGACATATATATATAAAAACAAGGTTTATTTCCAGGTACAGATAAGTTTTTGTGTTTTGTAGGCATGTCAGGTCAGTGAAGACATTTAAAAACTTTCTCCAAATTATTTAAAATCTGAAAATGATGCAAAAAGGACAATAAACCTTTAAAATGGAGTTAAAAACTAGATTTTTTTTAGCTTGTTGTGGAAAAGAAAAGGAACCTGTCTCTGTTTAAGTTTGAAACCTTTTTGTGTTGAAGTCAAACGGTACTTAAAGTTTTATAGTGAACAGAGTAATTATTTTAATGAGTTGGTTAGAACCGGGCCGGTTCTCAGTCTGGGTTCTGCATTCCTGAGGCCGATCGCTCGTTGTTCCCACCTACACTGAGCTGACTGATCCGTTTGCTCCTTCAGGCCTGCTGGACGAGTCCGAGCCGAACCAGAACCAGTCCGGTGCGGCAGAAATCTTCCAGTCCGGCCATTCTCGTAACTCCAGCTACGCCAGCCAGCAGAGCAAAATCTCAGGTAGGAAAAACCCACCAGCAGGTCCGACGGTGGGTCGAAGAGAATTCAGCAAAATGTAGTTTTAATCTTCTCACTGTGTAGAATAATGTCATTAATCCACCATGTCACTAAATTACAAACATAGATTAAATATTCCAGCTCTCTGCCCACTTTTTTATGTATTTTTTCTTTCTGTTTTGTTTTTATGGTGTTTTTACATGTTTAAAAAGTTTTGAGACGTTATGCAAGATGTTTATAATGTGAACAACTTTGTATTATGTCTTGATAAACCAACAAAAAAAAAAAGGAAATAAAAATAAACCCTGATCAACTTAAGCTGATAATTTAAATCTCCTGGTCTAATTTCTTCTTCTGCAGGCTACAGCACCGAGCACTCCTGCTCCTCCAGCCTGTCGGACCTCACGCATCGCAGGAACACCTCGACAGGAAGCAGCGCCTCCGGAGGCCTCTGCTTCACCGCCGACCAGCCACCAGAGGGCGACAAGGACGCTGGACGTCCGGAGAGACCCCCCCGCCCCCCGCGGCCCGTTCTGCCCCCAAGCCGACCCCTGAGGTACGGACTCAGAGAAGAGTCCTAAACGCAGATAAAACAACGGGACACTTAATTAACGTTTTAATTAACTCTGTTTATTGCGCTGCTACAAACCGACTTTGATGGACGAGGAACATGAATCCTCCCAAAATGTCTCCCAACAGATTGTTTTCCTGGTTCAGTTAAAAAAAAAAAGACATTTATTTGCATTATAAAGCAGAGATGCACAAAATACTGGAAGTTTATCGTTGTTGTAATTAGTTTTGCAACTAACGATTAATTTTGTAATTGATTATTCTGTTGATTAATCGGATAAAAGAATTGGCACATTCTGCAGATTAACCACTCAAAACCTTTATATACGATGTTAGGAATACATAAAAAATGCAAATAAATAATGTAGCTCCTTTTTTATTGTCTAAAATGCAGTAACATGCCATTCCTTTAGATTGCGATTGATAGTTTGTAGCAGCTAAAAAAAACCTCCTAACATCAACATGTGAAAAACTCAGCCGTTTCTGCAGACTGGACATTGATGCAGTGTAGAGCTGATCTGGTGATTGTTTGGATTAACTGATTAGTAATTGGTGCTTAGTAGATTCTTTTACAGAATTTTTACCAGGGGAAGCTAAAATGCAACTTGAAGAACTTTGCGTAGAAAATATTTAGACAAAGCTGTTTTTTGTTTTTTTATGAAATTCAAAATGTACAAAATGTATATTTGTTTTTTGCAGTTTTCACTCAATTAATTCTCTGTGTGTCGTTTCTTCAGCAAATGCCCCTTTTTAGTGTCTAAATACGCCAGTAAATATTTATTACTAAATTAGTTGACAATTATTTCAATAACTGATTAATCACAATTAATCTGAATAATCGTTGCAGAATCACTGCATGCATTACAAAGAGCAAAGAACTGCCTGTGTTAAATCTGCATGTTTTTTCTAAAGTTTGGGCTTAAAATCTGCTCTGGAGTTCTTTCAGTAAATGGCTTTTTTTTAGTTGGTATTCTCCAGATTCATTTACTAAATTAGCTGACGATTATTTTAATAATTGATTAATCATGATTAATCTGGTTAGTCGTTGCAGTGTCACTGTACGCAACGGAAATATCAAAAAACTGCCCGAAAAAACGTGAGCATTCAGGCTCCGGACTCCCGATAATTACAGGAGTTCAAAACCGGAATGACCTGCAAAAAGCTGAATTCTCCTCTAAAAGCATCCATAACATCTTATTTTACCAGTTGAAACACCAGACGTGCCTTAACGTGTGTTCATACAGTCAGCCGTGTTGGCGCTGCCTCAGCAGCTAACGTGCTGTTTGCTCTGTACTTCAGGAGGAAGCAGGACTCGGTGGAGAGTCACCCCACCTGGGTCAACGACACCCGCATCGATGCCGACGACATCGTGGAGAAAATCGTCCAGAGTCAAAACTTTGCAGATATCAACCACACCGAAGGTACAGAGGGAGCGTTTCTCTGGCCTCAGAGGAGTTAAAGCAGCGTTTGCAACACGGTTTAATCTTTCCACACCATCGCTGGAGGGTTTTAGATACGAGAGGGTGGAGCGTGTCCCAAATGTCACAACTCTGATGAAACTCAAACTTTCAGCCCGCAGAACTCCGCCTGTTGCAAGACTTCTCAAACACAAGTGATCCAGTTTGATCCAGTCCAGGCTGGATTTAACACGACTGACTGCAGAGATTAATGTAGTTATAAAATAATGGCTCCATTTTAACTAAAACCTCTGATTTCAAACTCTTTCAGGAAGGTTTACATCTCAAAATGTGTGGAAGCACAGAGTGGATATTTTCTGCATATCCTCAGTGTTTTTATTCCAGATAAAAACACTGATTCGTTCCTCCAGATGCTCATCGCGATCATCTCGAGATATGATTGGTGTGTGTTGAGCCTGATTCTCGTTTTCTCAAGAAAACCATCTGGAAATGAACTTATCCTAAGAAAATCACTGAGAAAAGATTTATGCAAAATGTCGGCTCTCTACTTCCTCTTGACACTTTTCTACAAAAACCAGAGTTGGTGTCACTGGATTTTATTTAGGGGCATCAAAGTAAGAGGAACCGAATATAAATGGCCACCAAACATAGAATGTTTTTTTTTCCTCCCAAACTTTGTTTTTTAACAAATTGTGCAGTCATGTGACTCTCACTACATTGTACATGTAAAGCAGGCTGTACAACTTCCTTTATAATCTAAGTTATGATCCAGCAGCCTCCACTCACAGCAGAAACATGGAATGTTTTTAATTGTAAAACTGTTAAAAAAAAAAAACTTCATGAATTTTCACTTCAGTATCTACTTTAGCAAACTGTTCCAGGTGTCTGAGCACGTTAGCAGGGTAGTAAATGCATCACTGCACGTAAAACATGTTGGTTGCAGAAACTCATCAGAAAGAAATGAAAGCTTTAGAAAAGCCTCAGCAGTGAATTATGCTAACACCAGTTTCCCTGCTGGTTTCTGTCTGTTTCTGGCTTCCAGACAGCAACCTGCGCCTGTTTGTCAGCAGAGACGGAACCACGGCGCTCAGCGGCATCCGACTGGGAAACAGGTGACCCTTCCTGCTCTCCACTCATCACACTTTCACTTCATAACCACCAGAGAGCAGATCCAGTAGAGGATGCGGCTAGAGCTGTGCGGCTAGAGCCGTGGAGCTAGAGCTCTGCGGCTAGAGCCGTGGAGCTAGAGCTCTGCGGCTAGAGCTGTTCGGCGAGAGCAGATTCTCATTCTGTGTCTGTTTTTGTCTTCAGGGTTTCTGCCGGCGGCTACGAGCCGGTGGTGATCGAGAGCCACTAACCGGCCGCCTGCTGTCTCACTGGTTTTACTGGAGCTTCAGCTGGTCTGACGCCATGAGAGGAAAGCCTATGTCCGTTTGCACTTTATGTCCAGTTCGTTGCAGCGTTGGCCTGCGCTCTGTTAAAGCTGTATCTTTGTGATGTTGAAGGGAATGCACAAAATGCTCCTCATTGTGTGTGAATATGTTGCAAGGATTTCCAATGAAGACGTTCAGAGGTTTCAGACATCATTTTGTCTGCAGCTTGTTGTTAAAACTGAAAGACGGTAAATAAGATCAGAAAAGGTCAAGAGAGGAACAATCGACTGTTTAACAGAATAGGAAAAAACAGCCACCAAAACATTTTATTTACCTGTCGACAACTTTCTCTAATTTTTTGTGTTTAATAAATCAGGAGTGCAGCTCTGTGACCCGATCAGGGAAAACATCAGAGGTCTGACAAAAGCTTGATCCGCAGATTTAAAACTGACAGTTCAGCGTTTTTCCAGCGATTTCTCCTCGCTTTGGTCAGGAAAGCTTGTTGCTTTTCTTGCAGCCGTAACGTTGCCACTATGTTTCCTTCAGCGGAGTATCCGGGCCACCAGGAAAGAAAAACAGGAGTAAATTTCTGTCACAAAACTCAGAGGTTTTTGGAATAAACTCAAAACTTTTCTAGAAAAAACAAGAACATTTCTGAGCTCTAGAAGTCAAAAATTTGTGAGAGAAGAAATTTTGAGATTAATTTCCGTTTTGAAATTTTTAAAAATTAAAATAAAGTTTTATTTGTTTGAGATTAATCTCAAATTTTCCTTTTTTTTTCCCTAGAAAATTTCAGAGTTTAATCTCCAAATTTCAGTTATTTTGTAGCAAACATTAAGCTTTTCAAACTCAGAAATTTTGAGATTAATCAGAAATTTTCTAAAAAAAAAAAAAAAAAAAAAAGGGGAATTTTTTTAATTTAAAAATTTAAAAATTTTAAAAAAAAATTTTTATTTTTTAAACCGGG